CACTAAAGCCCTAAGTCCCTAAACCCTAAACCCTAAACCCTACACCCTAAACCCTAAACCCTAAACCCTAAATCCTAAACCCTAAACCCTGAACCCTGAACCCTGAACCCTGAATCCTGAACCCTGAACCCTGAACCCTACACCCTAAACCCGAAACCCTAAACCCTAAACCCTAAACCCTAAACCCTAAACCCTAAACCCTAAACCCTAACCCTAAATCCCGAAGCCCTCGGAGGCTCTGGCACCGAGCCTTGCAGGTGTTCCCATCCTCCTGCGTGTTGGCTCCCGGGACAGGACTCCGGGGAGTTTAGGGTTTAGGGTTTGGGGTTTAGGGTTTAGGGTGTAGGGTTTAGGGTTTAGGGGTTTAGGGCTTTAGGGGTTTAGGAGTTTAGGGATTTAGGGTTTTTTATAGGGCTAGGTTAAGGGTCCGCCAGTCGACACAGTTTCAGACCGGAGCCCTGAAAGCCTAAACCCGAAACCTTAAGCCCTAATTAAACCCTAAACCCCAAACCCTAAACCCCAAACCCTAAACCCAAAACCCCAAACCGCTAGCATGTTCCCAAACCGAGACATTCGAAGGGTTTTCATTCAGGGTCAGGGGGTTCAGGAATTCCCAGGAAGCAAAATGCATTCATTGATTTCAATTTGTTTACGAAGATCCCGAACTTGGGCTTATTCGGGGTTTCTGGGGTTTGGGGGTTTGGGCTTGAGATTTCGGGGTTTAAAGAGGTTAGGGGCTTATAGGGTGTAGGAGTTGAACCTGCGAGCGCCGCCTCCGCCAGGCTGGCCCACGCCACGGGACGTGCACGTCGGCGGTCCAAGCAGTGCACCTCGGAGTTTCCAGTCCGCACGACCGGTCGGTAGATACGGCAGGCCCTAAACCCTAAACCCTAGACCCTAAACCCTAAACCCTACACCCTAAACCCTAAACCCTCAACCCTAAACCGCTAGCCCCCACTAAAATGAGGCCCTATAAGCTTCCAAAACGCGATACCAAGCATTCCGCCGTCAAGGGTTTGGCACACAACAGGGTCAGGGATTCCCTAAACCCTAAACTTTAAACCGCAAACCCCAAAACAATGCCTTCATTCATTTGCACTTGCTTGCGAAGAACCGGTACGTAGGCTTATTCGGTTTTTTTGTGGGTTTGGGCGTTTGGGCTTGAGATTTCGGGGTTGTAGGGGTTAGGGGCTTATGGGGTGTAGGAGTTGAGCTGCAAGCGCCGCCTCCGCCAGACTGGCCCACGCCACGGGACGTGCACGTCGGCGGTCCAAGCAGTGCACCTCAGAGTTTCCAGTCCGCACGACCGGTCGGTAGATACGGCAGGCCCTAAACCCTCAACCCTAAACCCTTGACCCTAAACCCTAAACCCTACACCATAAACCCTAAACCCTCAACCCTAAACCCTAAACTGCTAGCCCCCACTAAAATGAGGCCCTGTAAGCTCCCAAAACACGATACCAAGCATGCGGCCGTCAAGGGTTTGGCGTCAGGGACTCCCTAAACCCTAAACTTTATACCGCAACCCCAAACCCTAAACCCCAAAACAAAGCCTTCATTCATCTGCACTTGCTTAATTACGAAGAGCCGGTACGTAGGCTTATTCGGTTTTTTGTGGGTTTGGGGGTTTGGGCTTGAGATTTGGGGGTTGTAGGGGTTAGGGGCTTTTAGGGTGTAGGAGTTGAGCTGCAAGCGCCGCCTCCGCCAGAGTGGCCCACGCCACGGGACGTGCACGCCGGCGGTCCAGGCAGTGCACCTCGGAGTTTCCAGTCCGCACGACCAGGCGGCAGACACGGAAGAGCTGGCAGCGGCAGGCGTTGGTAGTTACCGAGGTTGTCAGAGGCGAGCCCTGTTTGGAGCCCTCAGAGAAGAGTCGTAGGAGGTTGCGAGTGTTGGGAAAGCGATTGACGGGAGTCTGCAAGCTCTGGTTCCAATTGAGGTTGGGGCAGTTGGGGGTTTCCCCGTAAAGGCTGCGTGTCCTATTCCTTTGTGGATTCCTTGGCGGGCCTAGAGTCCGCAACCCTAAACTCTAACCCTAAACCGTACCGGAGCATTCAGGGTCAATGCCGGATCGCGTATAAATTTGTAGAACTGCCCACCAAATTCATTGCGGTGGACCGTATCTTACAGATCCCCGCCTCCCAGATTCCTCGATCCATGCCACTCGAGGACGATGTTGAAGATTTGTGGCAGCAGATCGCCCTGCTGAAAGCATGTCGAGACGATGCTCAGCACGTACTCAAGTACTCAACCGCGACTGTTTTGTCAGGCAGTTTTTGAGTGCGTTACAAGCGTGCAGGGGGCATGGCGTGTTACAGGAATCATGGAGGCGCGAGCCAGCCCTCAGACTCCATGTGCCAAGATGCCCAAGACAGGAAACACAGTGTCGAGAAGTTGCTTTAAAGGCAAGCGCAAGTGAAGCATCCCGCCGGATCTGACTCTCCTCTTGCTGGACAAGAATTTGTAGGGATGATGACGGGTTTTGGAGTTTAAGGGGTTCAGGGTAGAAAAAGCTCAGGCTGTGCCAGTTCCCATTCTAATAGCCTCTCTCTTGGTGTCCCTGAATACTTGGCTTGGCTAGTCCTCGAGAATGGTCCACCGTGCCGGGTTTGGCCAGGAGGACTGATTGTTTTTGTGATTTGTTGTGGACAGATTGCCGTAGCAGCTCGGATCAGCTCGGTTGCGGGCCTTGATCACGACGATGCAGATTTTGGTGTGATGATGCGGGTGGCGCCGGTGTCCCTGGACCTTGTGGAGACACAACCTGCCCAGCAGGTGCCGGCAAGTGTATGCTACTACAGTTTTGTTAACTCCGTTGTACTTGCAGCTGTTATCTCAGAGCAGAGCCAGACGTGCCCCCTGCACTGCCCCTTTATGATTGCAGAAACCTGTCGATGAAACTATGGGCCACCTGCTGGCTGGATGTCTCTCACGAGTTTGGCCATCTGGATGACAGCGAACACTACGAGGAGATGATGGATGTATGTGTGCGTGTATGCCAAAGGTCTAAACTGCACTTCTGAAGATCCACTTACCTTCGTATCTTGGCGTTCGCGTCTGCAAGGAGTGTAGTGTCTTTGGTTTCGGGTTGCAGGGATCCAAAGGCAGCAGGACCGGCCTACAGGCGGCCGCCCCCCACGGCATCGGATTGCAGCTCCCCTAGCGAATTTGGCAGCTTTCCAAGATGAGGGAGGGGGGTGGATTCGGGTTTAGGGCTTTCGGAAGTTTAGGGTTTCGAGTTTTGTGGCGGCGTTTGAGGTCAGATCTCGTGGCCGCAGGCCGAGGCGAATACAAGACTTTGTCAGGGCTGGAGTTAAAACTCGAGTGCAAGGTTGCTGGAAACCCTAAAAAAGACCTAAGCCCTATAACCCCTACGCAACCTATACCCTAAAAACTACCCAACCTTCACCTTATACCCCAAACACGATTAAACCCTGCCCTAAATTGAGGGTTGAGTCTTTCTTGAGGTTCAGGTTATAGGGTTTGGGGCTTAGCGTTTAAGGCTTTAGGGATCGAGTTTCCTCAAGCCCTAAACCCCTAAGCCATGAATCGCAAGCCACAGGACTGTTCATCCGTGGTTCTCGCGGCGGATGTCCCTTGGCACTAAAGCTAGACGCGACCCCGGGGTTTAAGGTTTAGACAAGGCAGTGATGGTCTCATGGAGCTGGGAATGGGGCAATAGGCAGGATTCATATTCATTGCCTCATTCTTAGCTCTCGACAGGGTTTGGCCTATGACGGTCATGAACCAGCATGTATTTCATGCGCCGTGAAGAAGCTGCGTTTAGAGTCTAGAACTGAAGTCTTTGGGGTCTGGGGATGAAGGCTTCGGGTTTAGGGTTTAGGGCTCAAGGCTTTGGGTTCAGAGTGCATGCTGCTTTTGGTACCATAGCTACGGTGGCGCCCTGGCGCACTGAGTGACACATGTTCAGTATTTTACAGCCGCGCGCGCAGATTCTCTGAAATTGAAAATCTTATACCCAAACCCAGGGCCCGAGCGAGGCTTCCATTCTTTGAAGGAACGAACTGGGCCTTGCCCAAAGCCCTAAACCCCATAAACCCTTTAATCCTTCGCTCCTTAAAACCCAAAGGCCCCGAAACAAACCCCCAATGCCCTACAATCCGCCCCCAAACCTCCAAAACACTCCAAAACCCCAAACCCTAAAATCCCCCCAAAACCCTACGTAAACGCCAGAATTCAGGTTCCGCATTCTTCGTGCTGCGGGGGGTTCGGAGGCAGACGTTAAGCTCAGCGAGCTTGACGGAAAGGACGAACACACCTTGCATCAGGGGTTGGGGGTTGCAGTGTTTAGGGTTCTAGGTTTTCGGCATCTTGGGACAGAGTCTAAGGCCTTATGCCCGAACCTCCACTATGAGTGGGGGGTGAGCCTATGACCCGCCCCAAAGTCTGAAGCTGAGACCCTGAAGGTGAGAAAGCAAGTGCTTGCTTCTAAGTGTCGACACTTCCCTGAACTTAGTGAGCCCAGCTGCGTTGGTGTTCTTAGGGTGCAGGGTTTGCGTTTAGGGTTCAGGGTTTAGGGTTGAAAGGGTAATTAGGGGACCGGAAGCTGTGTAGCGCCATGACGATTCAAGTCCCCATAGATTCTCATAGTCCCTGGGCGGTTGATTGTGGGGACTTGGACCGCCTGGTGCTTCGAGCTAACCCTAAACCCTAAACCCTAAACCCCTGAACCCCTAAACCCCCTAAACCCCTAAACCCCTGAACCCCTAAACCCCTAAGCCCCTAAACCCCTAAACCCCTGAACCCCTAAACCCCTAAACCCCTAAACCCCTAAACCCTGAACCCTAAACCCTAATTAAACTTTAAATTTAATAAGCCCCAATAAATCCTAATAAATCCTAATAAACCCTAATGAACCCTAATAAACCCTTATAAAGCCTAATAAACCCTAATAAACCCTAATAAACCCTAATAAACCCTAATAAACCCTAGTAAACCCTAGTAAACCCTAAACCCTAGAACCCAAACCCTCCATGCAGGAGCACTGGTGGTGGGACACCAAGACCTCCAACGACGGTGGCGCCGTCAACGATCCGGTGCGCCAACCGCAATGGTTTTGAGGGTGGTTTAGGGTTTAGGTTGTAGGGTTTAGGTTTGCTTTATCAGAAGCTGTCCTGGTTTTTCTGTGGGCACAATAGTCAGCATTTTAGCCGAGCAAACAAAACCTAACCACCCTTTGACTTAGGCTACTGTTTCAGGTTTCTATAGCATTGGGGGATCCAGGGCTTAGGGCTTCAGGTCCTGCCGGCTGGCATGCTCAAAAGCCCAAGCCCGAGAGCCCAGAAGCCTTTTTTTCGGAGGAGATGCGCCAGTTCTACGCCTCCTGCCTGCAGCGAGGTGTTTTGACGCCGGAACCCAGGCGCGCGGCGCGAGGGAGACAGGACAGGAGGGTGTGTTTTGTTGAGGTTTGGGTTTCTTTTTTTGGAGTTTAGAGGTTTGGGGCCTAAGAGACCAGAAGGGTTTCAAGTGGGGCTTGGGGTGTGTAGGGTTTTGAACATGGCGCTTAGGGGAACCCCCTCTTTGCAGCTGATGGGTTAGGGCGCTTTGCGGTCGACATTTCGCTGCTAGTAAGCAAAAGGAAGTGGCCGCCAACATCCATGTTGTGTCAGCTAAACCCTAGATGGTGATTTCCCTAAATTGCTGTCCTTTTTGGGGTCCTCGTTACAAGGCGGCCCCTCTTATGTAGGGTACCCCAAAAAATACCCCCTAAGTTTGAGAACTAACCAAATGGGGTGTCCTTTCTCGGGACACGCTAGCCACAAGCCTTCTAATCCCTGTAAACCCGACAAACCCTATAAACCCGAGAAGCCCTACAAGCCCCTAACCCTACATCAGCATTTGGCTTTAGGGATTTAGGGTTGCCCTTTGGCACCTAAACCCTAAACCCTGCACCCTAAACCCTACACCCGACACCCTAAACCCCCTCGCCCCACAAATATTCGGAGAAATGTGTATGCACAAAATCATCCGTTCCCATAGAGACACCTCCCGGAGTAGTCTTTTGGGGTCTAAACCCTAAACCCTAAACCCTAAGCCCTGAACCCTAAACCCTAAACCCTAAACCCTGAACCCTAAACCCTAAACCCCCTGAGATGGCGCCTCGTGGTTCACAACGTGGCAACGGCCGGGTCGAAAGGTGCGGTCCGCATTCTACAGCAACCCGGCGTTGTATGGGGTAGGCTTCAGGGTGTAGGCTTCAGGGCTTAGGGTTCAGGGTTTAAGGTTTAGGGTTTAGGGTTTAGGATTTAGGGTTTAGGGTTTAGGGTTTAGGGTTTAGGGTTTGGGTGGGGGGGGGTCTTTGGTTTGAGTCTAGGTTTGTCGGGGCTGTGGATCTTTATGGCCGGTGATTGCAAACCTTTTGGATAATGCAATAGGGGTTTGGGTTCAGGATCGCTTTGACGTGGAGAAAGCCCAGTTCTCCTGCGGCCATTCTTTTTGTCTCATGGATTCCCCTACCCCCCTTCCCCCATAATCAAGGCTATTTAGGGATGGTTAAGCCTAATTGACAAATTAGGGGGGGTAGTATAGAGGGGGGGTTGTAAGGGAACCGATGATAGTAGCACGAGAGGGACTTGCCGGCGACTGGTCGAAGAAATTCGAAGAAACGTCGTCGATTTGCACGTTTGCTCGTGTCTTACAAGGATGTCGAGTCGAGTAGGTGGGTTCTTGGGCTCCGGCTTTAGTCTAGGTGTGAGGGTTTCGGGTTTAGGGTTTAGGGTTTAGGGATGAGGGTTTAGGGTTTAGGGTTTAGGCTTCAGGGATTTCAGGGTTGAGGTTTTGGGGTTTTAGGATTTATAGACGCCGCAAGATGCCGAACGGCACATGCCTTTCCCAGGTTTGCAGGTCTAAACGACTTAAGGGTTTACAGGGGGTTTGTCGGCGATGGCGCGTTTGCCCTAGACTCAGTCAGGGCTTAGGCCGCCCCCCTACGTTGGGGGGCGGCGCTTAAGCCCTTCGACCTCGATGGCGCAAGCCGACCCAGGTCGCTCGCCCGCCTCCCACAGCATGAGGGTCGGTAGCGCCCACGATAAGCCCGGTACCGGAACACGTTCTCCTCGCGACCAGTACTGGTCTCTTATAATAAGTAATTACCCTAAACCCTCGGTCATGACCCTGCCGCTGACCTTTCCAGGGGCCCCCCCACAACCCCAGCCCAGGAAGTCCCTCTCGCCGCAGCGTGCTTGGCTCGCGTGGGGTGGGAGAAAAGTGTTAGATGGCCCTCCACAATCGGGCCAAAGCTGCTCAGCTTGTTCCGAAACCTAACCTTCACAGCACCTACGCCTCATCACAGCAAACCCTAAACCCTAAACACTGGACCCTAAACCCTAAAGCGGGAGGGGGGAAGAAGGGGTATGTTGGGCAAGCCGTGTTCTGAGGCAGTTGCGGCCATATGGCCGATCCGAGGCCAAGACTAACTGGCGTACTGCAGGTTTCTTGTGTTTAGGGTTTAGGGTTTAGGGTTTAGGGTTTGGGTTTTGGGTTTTGGGTTTTGGGTTTTGGGTTTTGGGTTTTGGGTTTTGGGTTCAGGGTTTGATCCAAGGGGAGGGATATCTCGGGAATCTTCGGGAAGCTCAGGGGGATGTTAGGATGTGGAGGAGCACCGGGATTAGAGCCTATAAAAAGAAGTCCCTGGACCAATTTGGCACACAACGCCCTGATGCCGAAACACGAAACCCTACAATGTAAAAGCCTGCAAAGCCTCTTAACCCTATAAATGCCTATAAACCCTGAACACCCTACCTACAGGTTTCTTTTGCAAGCTATAGTGACAGCCTCGAACACGTTGTGCACCCTCACGGATCAGTGGCAGCTACAGCGGCTGGGTTCGCTGCAGCGACATCATGAAGGGACTACGCTCAGCCGCAAGGTGTGGGGAGAGGCCGAGGCAAAGGCATGGCTGACAACTTACCGACAGCTTTACACCTCGGAGATGCAGATGGTGCGCCGGGTATGGACCGCGGAGGATGCTGACGCCTGGTTGAAGGCGTACCGGCAACTTGCGAACATGGAGACAATGATGATCCGAGCCGCGGGTCACGACCTGAGCATCGCGGCTGTCGCCCTCTGAGCACCTTACTCGTCGTCAGTCGCGGTCCTGCAGTATCGCCCGAATTTGGGGTAGTCTCGGAGCCCTACACCATAAACTCCATAAAGCCCTAAACCCCAAACCTCAACCACTCAGAACCAAACCCGAAACTCGGAATCCCAACTCCTGAACCCCCGCCTGATTCTGACGAGCTTCTCCCTGATTTGGGGAGAGAAGCTCCCTTTGAAGAACAAGGGCTCCCTCAAGGCCGCAAGAGGGTTCAGGGTTTAGGGTTCAGGGTTTAGGGTTCAGGGTTTAGGGTTCAGGGTTTAGGGTTTAGGGTTCAGGGTTTAGGGTTTAGGGTTTAGGGTCTAAGCAAACGACCCAAAGAAAGGTATGGGCAGCTGCCCAGTGGAAGTTGAAGACCAAACCTCTAGGTCTTCAGGGGTAGGAGGGATTTTGAGAAGGGGACCCTTAAGCTTATTCCCCTATATGACCCCTATAGTTTAGGGTTTAGGGTTTAGGGTTTACATACCTTATATAGTCCCTTTTTGCCCAAGTAGCCCCTAGATAACCCCCAAATAGCCCTAAGGTCCTAAACCCTAAGGTCCTAAACCCTAAAAGCTAAACCCTAAACCCGAAACCCTAAACCCTGGCCCCATTATATGCCTCCTTAATCCTCCTTGCGGGGGTCCCTCCTTTCGTCCCTTGAAGGTCGCCGTGGAAGGGAGTGACGGAAGTGAACTCTGCCAGGGGCCCCTGCTGAAAGTGAGTGGAGTTTAGGGTTTAGGGTTTAGGGTTTAGGGTTTCGGGTTTAGGGTTTAGGGTTCAGGGTTCAGGGTTTCGGGTTTAGGGTTTAGGGTTCAGGGTTTTGGGTTTCGGGTTTTGGGGGTAGGGGTTAGGGGTGTAGGGGTTTAGGGGTGTAGGGGTGTAGGGGTTTAGGGGTGTAGGGGTGTAGGGTGTTGGGGTGTAGGGTTGTAGGGTTGTAGGGGTGTAGGGGTGTAGGGGTGTAGGGGTTAGGGTTTAAGGTTTAGGGTTCAGCACCTCAAGTCCAGGCATTCACTAGTCAAGCAGCGTGATTGTGAAACGCGAGTGCCCACCCACCCAGAGCAGCTCAGAAAACATTCAGAAAATATACAGGTCACTCAATCCACAAACCCTCACTCAATCCATAAACGTAGGCCCTGTACCCTAAGACCCTAAACCCCAACTTTTCCAACCAGATAGTTCTTATAGGGATTAGGGCTTTGCCCTAGTGCTGCACTTATGCGCCGCCCTCAGTCTATAGTCGATAGCTGCTCCTGGGGCCCAACCTGGTGGAGCTACTTGTATTTCAGGGGCAGGCTTCTGCTTACTACAGGGCTGATCAGGGTTTAGGGGTTGAGGGGTTTGGGGGATTAGGCATTTAGGTGTTTGGGATGTAGGTGTTTAGGGGTTTAGATTTAGGTTTGTAGTGGTTTAGGGTTTTGGGGGTTGAGGGGTTTCCCCTAAACCCCTAAGTCCCTAAACCCGAAACCCCTAAACCCTAACCCCTAAACGGAAAGTCCTGAACCCCTCAACCCCTAAACCCCGAAACCCTCAATCCCTAAACCCTCAGTCCCTAAACCCTAAACCCTAAACCCTAAACCCTAAACCCTAAACCCTAAACCCTAAACCCTAAACCCTAAACCCTAAACCCTAAACCCCAAACCCCAAACCCTAAACCCTAAACCCTAAACCCTAAACCCTAAACCCTAAACCCTAAACCCTAAACCCCTGCAAGGCCTGAAGGCCACGACGTCCAACGTCCGACGTCTGGAGTGGTCGGAAGGCCCAGGTTCTCTGGCCCCCTTGAGCTCTTGAGAAGCTGCACGTAGCCCTAAACCCTAGGGTTTAGGGCTAGGGTTTAGGGTTTAGGTTTAAGATGTAGGGTTTAGGGTCTAGGGGTTAGGGTTGAGGGTGTAGAGTTTAGGGTTTACGGCTCAGGGACGTTCAGGGTCTCTGCCCCCTTTGAGTTCTTGAGAAGCTTCAGGGTTTAGGGTTTTAGGGTTTGAGGCACGGGCTCTGCCCCGCTACAAACCCTGCAAAACGTTGCAACCATATGAAGTAGGGTTCATATTTCTTGTACTGCGGACTCGAGGTCGTGAATCATATCAAGGTGAGACAGCTTAGATTTGTACCAAGCACGGTTAGCAAGCACACAACATCAGTGGTCGAGGACGTGAGTTTACCGATCAATGGTGAAGCTTCGCAAGCATAGAGGAGATAGAGTCAATGGTGTCATCAAAGCGTTGAACCCAATCAGCGACCGTGTCTGTACCGCCAAAAGGACACCAAATAGATACACTCGCCAATATTAAGCAGCAACCTTATATACACTCACCAAAAACAGTAACATAATCCCTGCTTCATATAACCCCTAAACCCTATAAAGCCCCAAAGCTCAGCCCCAAACTCTAGGCACCTGCCAATCCAAAGTCCCTAAAGTTTTCGGGTTTCTGGTTTAGGGTTTTGGATTTAGGGTTTAGACTATTCGTATACCCGGGGTCTAGGGTACCCAACAAATCTGGGGAGGCTGTTCTGACTCCCCACTCGCAAAGTCGGGGGTCGCTGAATAGGGTCCCTGCTTAGAACACCACCCAAAAGCCCTACCAGCTGTTTCTGACAGGTTCCTAGTACGGAATGAGGGAATGAGGTACTCTCTATAATCCCTTAATAAGAGTGTATCTTGGGGGATATCAGGTAAATTCCCTCATTCCCTACTAAGAACCAGGGGGTTTCGCCAAGGGACGTGGCTTCTTTGCGGGCCACATGCGACAAGGAGGCCCCCAAGCTTTTGTGTGTAGGGTTGGTGGGTTTAGTGGGCTTCGGGTCTGTCGGGTTTGGGGCAAATCCTAAACCCTAAGCCCTAAATCCTAAACCCTAAACCCTAAACCCTAAACCCTTCGCGGCTTAGGCCCTCCACTGTGAACCTCATAAACCAGATGTGCCCTATGGCTTCTGAGGGCCGTATCAGCCTTGTAAACCAAAGAGCCCAAAACCATATGTTGGCCAACGGTGTGAACTGGTCATTTTCGGGTTCAAACTTGGTAGGTTCGGGTTTCGAATTTCGGGTTTGGGGCGTATGAAGGGCTTGCACAGACAAGAGAGACTTCTGGCCAACCTTTGGCCAGGTTTTTTTTTTTGTTTTTCTGTTTTTGGGGTCTGGGGTTGGGGTGTTTCGCATAGACCTAGAACCTCGGAGCACTGGCCCTACACCCGAATTCCGAAGTTCATAGCACGGCGCACTGCTTAGGCTGTAGGGTTTGCAGGGTTCACAGGGTTTTCAGTTTAGGGTTAGGGTTTAGGGTTTAGGGTTTAGGGTTTAGGGTTTAGGGTTTAGGGTTTAGGGTTTAGGGTCTAGGGTTTAGGGTTTAGGGTTTAGGGTTTAGGGCTTAGGGTCCCGGCTATTGAAGGGCTTTTTACTCATCGCCTTCGCAGCTCCTGTGTGCCAGGGCACGAGCCATGCACAGCCAAAGATTCTGCTGGACGGGCAAGTGCTCCTCGGCCGCCAGTTTAGGGTTTAGGGTTTAGGGTTTAGGGTTTAGGGTTTAGGGTTTAGGGTTTAGGGTTTAGGGTTTAGGGTTTAGGGCTACATCTCGAGCAGCTGGAGGAACGAAAGCGACCTTAGAAACATCGAAGGATCCTGGTAGCAGTGTGCTTCAACAGGCGACTCACAGCTGCCGCCGGTGCTGCGGGGTTTAGGATTTAGGGTTTAGGGTTTAGGCTTTAGGGTTTGGGGTTTCGGGTTTAGGGTTTCGGGAATTCGACATACCCCCACACCCATACCTTAACTCATAACAGGGGAATAGAAGGGTAGATTTCGCCCCTTAATTGCTTCAAGGGGTATGCCCAGGGGGTATGTTGAACATGTCTTAGACACTTATGAACTCGCGTGACAGCACTTGGAAGAAGCATCGCCTCTCAACCGATGAGTCAAGCATTGAAGGTTTAGGGCTCAGGGGGTCCGCCACACCCTAAACCCTAAACCCTAAACCCTAAACCCTAAACCCTAAACCCTAAACAGGCTCCTCCTGCGAGATGTGCCGGAGCCCCAGCACTGCATCTGTACAAGCGTTCGGCCTTGAGGCTTTGGGTTGCAGCTCTGCGGTAAACCCTAAACCCTAAACCCTAAACCCTAAACCCTAAACCCTAAACCCCTAAACCCTAAACCCTAAGCCCTTAACCCTTAGCCCTAAACAACCCTGAACCCTAAACCCTAAACCCTGTGGGGCTGAAGATAGGGCATGGCGCAGACATCTAGCTCAAACGCGGCGTAGCAAAAGAGCTGGAGTTTGGCCCTGAACCCCTTGACTAAACCCCAAGCCCTAAACCCTAAACCCTTAACAGCCCGAAACCC